TCCTACTGTTTGCCTTTATCTATTTAGAGAGAAAAGTTATGTGTGTATATTTCAGATTTTGATTTTTTTATTCAATGACTTTGAAAACATTTACAAAGAAATTGATAATGTTGTTGAAGCAAGAATTTTCTTTAAGGGAAAGGTCTTTATCCAATAAAAAAAAGAATTAAAAATATTGTTAAGGCCAATGATAAAAATGTTTTGTTTGATTCCTGTCGATCAGTCAAAATTATACTTTCAATTTTTTTTATTATTTTTTTTTTTGGGGGGGGGGGTATAGACATACAAATTGTCTGAATCATATTTAAAGTTAACGATTTATCATTTCTCTAGATTAAGATACATTTAGACTGAACCTTGTAGCAGTAGAATTAATATTAAAGCTGTCTAGCTTTATTCTATCAACATTGAAAACATAAATAAATTTCTGACAACCCCCCCCCCTTTCTATCAAAAGGAAAAAATCATAAAATTAAACAAAAAATAAATCTATACCTTGGGAATGGGGGCGGGGTGGAGTTAATCGCTTATGAAGAATCACCTTCTTCAATATATTCCAAAAAAAAAAAAAATGAAAACTGTAGGAAGAAGGCAGAGACAGATTATTTATTTTCAACATATTTAAGGACTAAACTTTAGAAAATATGTTTACATTACACACCATAAGGTATACGATTCCATCAAGCTTACTAACCAACTCAAATTTAGCAACTGACATAAATTCAAGAAAGCACAAAAACAGATTATCCGAACAGGTCCAGCAGAGTTTTACAACAGATTATTATTGATTAAATTTTGGGAAATAGCAGATCTATTATTTGTAAACCCATATATTATTTGTAAACGCATATTTGGGTTGAAATATTTATCATCAATGTCTCTAAATTTTCAAGTTTTTAAGAATAATATTGCAAAGTAAAATGGTTTTAGGCTTTTTCTGTCAACTTCTCTGAAAAAAGTCACAGGAAAACATAACTTGACTGTTACTGGCTGTTGAATAGGGTCAAAAATGTACATTTTAGAACAAGGACTTAGTCTAAAAAAACAACAAAAGAGTGTTTTTACATGCACGTAGCACAATTCTCTACATACAAGTCACTCAATATGGTAAGTGTATAGGCTTTCAATATTTTGACTTGGCTACATTTTTATCAATAAATGACCTTAAAAAACATTCTCATAGCATTTACACATTATGCATTAAGCTAAAGGTGAGAATGTAATTTATTTACCAGTTTCAGTAAAATAAATTGTGTATAAAACAGGATACGCTTACATAATATCCAAGTATAAATGCTGTACTAACGAGCTAATTCAGAGAATCTGTGTCCCCTGCTTAAGGAAAAAAGAAGAGCGAGTACGGATCTAGAGGGGTGGTGGGGGTGGGGGGACTGGACACTTTAAGAGGAGTGGGCGGGACCATAGGGAGCTACGTTATAAAATTTCATTGCAAAAGCTTAAAAGCATCTTGAGATATCGCTCGGAAATGAAAGTTTTACACAAAAACAGAATGCATAAATTTTTGACATTGACCTTTGACCTTTTGACCTCGAAATCAATATGGGTCTTTTTTAGTTCATAAGAAGTTGTGCTTTAAAATTTCAATGCAAAAGCTCGAAGGCTTCTAGAGATATCGCACAGAAATAAAGTGTTTAAACAGAATTTATGAATTCATGACTTTGACCTTTGACCTTAAAATCAATGGGAGTCTTTCCTAGCTAGGCCACAGGGACTTTTTATGCAAAATTTCATTGCAAAGGCTCAAAGGCTTCTTGAGACATCGGACCAAAATGAAAGTGTTACAGAAAGACAGACTGACGGACGGATGGACGGTCAGACAGACCCAAATCACTATCCCCCACTTTCAGTGAAAGCGGGGGACAAAAAGGCAATTTTTATATACCATTGTGACCTTGAACTTTGACCTTCTGTCCGTATTTACCAATTCATGTGATGCCACATGTAGTTATTGTCCCCAGAACTATAATTTTGTTTATTAGTGCTGTTTAAAACAAAAGTATTAGTTAGGACACAGAAAAAAAATGTGCTCAGTTTCCTTAAATTTCCATCTAAATCGAGTCATTTTGACCTTGACCTTTGACCTTTGGTCATGAAAATTGATTTTTCTCTTTGTTTTTGCTATTGTGTACCACATAACTAAATTTGGTTTTAATCCATTTTAAAATACCCAGGTACTTATATGGAAACTGATTGTAGATACCTATTGCCCTTGTCTGGAATTCTTTAAAAAAGCATAAGTGTGTAACCATGGTAACATGAAAACAAAATATGAATACCAAGTTGTTTTTTTTTTTTTTTTTTTTTGCAGTTTATATTAGAACTATATATTGACTTTCAAACCAATGTATTTATTTTTTCCCAAATGTCCGCAAAATTTTATACCAGGCTTTTCAAAAGAGCCTAAAATCTACAATTTTCCCCCAGAAAAATCCTACCTAAAAACGGGCGATGTTTTTTATATTAGGTAAAGTTACTCAAATACAAGAAATTATCTAAAGAACTATAAAAATGATGTATTTTGGCAAAAAGATGAAATCATGTAAATATCTTGTTGTATTAAAGACTTTTAATTAGTCAAAAATGGTCATTTTTCCTCAAAATTTAGCATTTTTTAGGCCATGAAAAATGTATGTTGGTTGCCATGGTAACCATTGACCATAGCAACCATTTTATTATGAATTTTAGTTTCATACATCAATATAGGAATGTGTGCCAAGTTTCATAAAAATCTAAGACCTAGCGTGCCACACTCCCTATATAAGAGTTTAAATGCTTACAGAGAATGGCTATTAACTTTTAAAATTTGTTTAATTTGTAAAAGGATAAAAGTAATGAAAATCTGATGTCTCTTGTTAAATATTGTAGATCACCAAATATTCACTACACTTAGAGAGGTATGTTAAAGTGAAATTTGTTGTGAAATTGTTTGTATAATTAATGCTTGGTTGATATTATCTTAATCTTGTTGATTTGTAGTAATTGTTCTAAGCTACAGACTGCAATGATCTGTTTATGTGATAAGGTCATGACCGCTCATTAAGATTTTGGCTGGGAAATTTAGCTCTTGTATCAGCATTACTGACTTTTATCACCCGAGTCTCAGGGGGATTGAATGTCTGAAGTGCTGACCATGAGAAAATGCAGAATTCATAGTGTTCACAATTAACTGGTTAATTTAGCAGTGATTGACATTCTGTAGGTTGAACAGTTCTTAATATTTAGCGTAGAATTTTTGTGTTCAATTAGTTACTCAGTCAGGTCTTGTGTGTAAATTGTTACACAGGAATATTTTTCCTTAAGAGACTTTGCAAATTTAAATACAATTTTTTTTCTCAATAACTACCACCCAGATAGCATGACTATGTTGGGCCAACATTGGTATATGGTTGTACAGTTGGCCGATGGTTGGCGTTGGCTAGACAACGTTGGACCAACGTTGGACCAATGTTACCATGTCAATCTTTTCTTCAGTAGCCAACCATGTTGGGATTCTTACGTTTGCCCAACGTTGGTCCAAGATAAAGCAACTCCTTTTTGCTATATTTTCTACGGAAGTTGGGATTCTAAAGTTGGCCCAGCGTTGGTCCGACGTTTGTAATACAACCTTAACAAATTTGATTATTTAATCTGGTAACAGTATATGTTTAACCAGTGTTACCATGCGTTTTCTCTACATCATTGGTCCAACGTTGTCCCATCATCGTACTGCGAACTATAGGACGATGTGCATATGAATTGGCACTGGCGGATTTAAGGGGGGGCGTGGGGGGCGCACGCCCCCCCCCCCCTAAAATTTTCAAAGTATGATATGACTAATATCAATAATGCAATACTTTGGTATATAACAAACCAATACCGCTATTTTTGTGCCTGGTTTTACTCTTAAAATACACGAAAACCCAGGAGCTTCCGGGGGCTTCGCCCCCTGGGCCCCCTTTATTCAAAGTATGATATGACTAGTATTAATAATGCCAAACTTTGGTACATATAAACTAACCAATACCCCTATTATTGTGCCTGGTTTTACTCTTAAAATACACGAAAACCCAGGAGCTTCTGGGGGCTTCGCCCCCTGGGCCCCTACCAGGGCTTCGCCCATGATTGGGACTATTACTCTGGGTCATTGTCGGCCCAATGTTTGCTAAGCCATTAAAAAGATGCATGGTTATTTAAGCTGGTAACAGTGTGTTGGTCCAGCGTTGGCCCAATGTTAGCATGAACATGGTCACTGTGTGCTAGGAATGTAATAATATGCCCGCCAAACCGAGGTGCATTTCGGTTTCATTAAAAAAAAATGGCTGTTAAAAGAGAAGAATTTTTTTTAATTACTCACTGAATTTTGGTTTAAATTGAATTGAAAAAAATTCTACCAGAACTCATTTATGAAAAATAGCTATCAAATCATTATTAAAGATTATAGTAATGTAGGAAAACTGCAAGAAGAAGTTTGATTCCACACAATAAGCAGAGTTGTAGATTCTATATTTAGTATGTTGGAACTAAAGTGTTGTGTTTAAGAACTCCACGTAATTAGGTCAGTTGTGAAATTCCCTTGCTCAGCAGGTGATTGGCCGGTTTCCTAGAAGACGAGCATCGGATCTTGCAAACTCCTTATCACAGCCCGCACTGGAACAAAGCGTACTTTGTTGCTCATAAAAGAGAAAATAGATTATTTTAGCCCTTGAATTGTAAGTAAAATTGTTATGTGTGATTGATAGAATTTTATGCTTTGCTAAAACTTAACTTACACATAATGTAAAAATTATTAAAGAAGTTATTAAAAATTAACACTCGTTTCAAAATGTTCATGTATATTTACTAGTTATCTAATTGAGAAGAAAAATACTTTATTTAATGATATTGTATTTTTAACATTGATAGAAACTGGTGAAGGAAAAAATCCTCTGTATCAGATGGCCTTTGATGCAAAAATATTTTCCTGAAAGACATAGATTCTAGCACAAAGAAACAACAATCGCATGGACAGGAAAAAGGAGTGGACAATTCAAATGTGGTAATATGGACAGGAGAAAATGCACAATTAATTTACATTCCTACATTCTAAAAGTTTGAAATAGTGGATTCCTATACAAGAGAAATTTAGAAGTGATTATCAACATGATCAATAATGATGTTTAATATACTGTCTAGAAAAAACATTTGAACTACATGTGTATCCTTTCCCCCGCTGATTGCATTCAATAATCAAGATTCCTTAATAAAAGTGACATGAATACTCTAAAACCAAGATGATTTTCTAAAATTGATTAAATTCATTGTATTGAAATGATGGAAATTAAAACAAATACAGGAATTGTGTTGTACTTCTATGATTGAAAGGCTAATCATTTGCCATGTAAGTTGAATGCGTGTCCAACGTTGGTCCGATGTTGGCAATACGATTAATATATATAGGCCTATACATCTACCGAGCAGACTGTCTCGCGTAATTACGCCAAAATGTAATCCTCCCCAATAAAAAAGGATTAACAGTACCTTTTGCTTATCCATGCTATTTAGTCATTTTCTCCAAATAATTGCCTGTAAATGTATATCTTTGGTGACCAAGACCTGTTCCACAGACTGCCTATATATGCAAAACTTTCCAGTCATGAAGTCCCGTTTCTATTTTCGGGGCTTTCTTACAAGACTCTAAACAATAAGCAAATAATTAACTAAACAATATCACAGAAACTGAATCAAACACCTATTTTAAATAAAAATATACGGAGAAAATATCCAAGCTCTATATAATTATATTAAAAGATCGTGGGTTTTCCTGATATTAAAAATTCCATTTGTGTTTGTATAAATCATTTTCTGCAAAGAAAAAACCAAGTAAAATCATTTAATATGTATATCCTCTATAAAAATTTTCAGCCAATTGTGCAAAAGCATTTTGGAACTAATTTGTAGCTAGAGAGCTAACAAATCGATGGTTATTATCGTATATTATTCTAAAAATATTAACTAAGACTAATATTTAATATTCCTAGCATATAATAACGGAAAATATTCTCTGAGTTAAAATATGTTCTAAGATATTAAATTTAACAAAGATTTGAGAACTTTCTTCTAAATATCCTTCCACCACAAGAAATAGTCCCTAATAAATCTTGCTTCTCTATGAATTTGAACTGAAAATGGAACTAGGGACACGATCAAACAGGCTGGAACTAAGGGCAATGATGAAAAGACTGAACTTGAGGACTCCATTGAAAAGGCTTGCAGAAGGGAAATTACTAAAGGGGTTGGACTTGAGGACTCCATTGAAAAGGTTGAAACTAAGGACACCACTGAAATGGCTGGAAGAAAGGACACCACTGAAATGGCTGGAAGTAAAAACTCCAGTGAAACGGTTGGAACTAAAAACTCCACTAAAATGGCTGGACTAAAGGACTCCATTGAAAAGGCTGGAACCATGGACACCACTGAGATTCCTGAAACTAAAGATTCCACTGAAATGGCTGGAACTCAGGATTCCACTAAAACGGCTGGTAGTAGGAACACCAATAATGAGGCTAGACTTATGGACTCCATCGAAAAGGCTTGAACTAAGGACACTACTGAAAAAGTTGGAACAAGTGACAATAATAATGTGGCTGAGACTAAAGAAATTAAAACCACCACTAAAGTGACTGGAACTATGGACACCACTGAAAAGACAGGTGCGAAAGATACTTGGAAAACAATATTATTTAATAATATTATTTCAAAGGGAAAGAAACGAAAGCTAAATTTACACATATTCTACCCATATAATTATAATGAAATTGCAGTCATCAAACGTAAGTGCACTCTGACCGTATACCCTATAAAAACCAAAAATTAAAGTGTAAATGGAACTGTTTGACATGGCAAGAATACAGAACGAAAAACAATACTAAAGTGGAGCAAATCGAAGTGGATTTAATTATCTAAAGCAGCCTTTCCTCATTTCAAGATATTTTTTCTCATTTCTTCTCATCAGACTGGGCCCCTCAAAAAATTAAGAATCATGATTAATGATTGATTGATTGATTGATTGATTGTATGCTTTTTTTACGTCCCATTCGAGAATTTTTCACTCATATAGAAACGTCACCATATACCGGTGAAGGGCTTCAAATTTTGACCTTTACTCGGCACTTAGGGCCATTGAGCAGTGAGGGATCTTTATCGTGCCAACGCCTGCCGTGACACGGGGCCTCGGTTTTTAAGGTCTCATCCGAAGGACCCGCAACTTTCACTTCAAAGTGCCGAGCGCATGGCGAAGGAACAGTTGCTTCCCATTTTTTTATCGACTTAGGTCAGTCGCGCCCGAGATTCGAACTTACGACCTCCCGATCACAGAGCGACCGACTGAGCTACCGTGAATGGTCCATGATTAATGAACACAGTGCACTAAATAAAGATTACATATGACATTTTAATGTGAAGCAGCGTGATTGTGATAAAATATATCCTAAGGAACATTGGGAAATGCTTCTTTCCAAATGCACTCTACAACGCCAATAAATGCTCACGGAATTTCAAGTTTCCGTGAATCATACAATTTTGAACTCAAAAATATTTTTCGAGAGAAAAAGAGATCGAAATTAAAACTTGAACTTCAAGCCGACCGCCCAGTATTCCGACGGTCTGATAGTCTGACGGTTCGGTAGTCGGACTGTCCGATAATCTGTGGCCACATGATAGAGATTGCTATGTTATAGTCAGCAGAAAACAGGAATAAGTGCCATGTGCCAGAGCTATTTTTTACTTCAAAAGAGCAAGACTTCCCACAGTGGGAAAACTATGGTCGGGTTCGACCTACATCTTGCATGTATCTCAGGAAAAGTTTTTTTTTTTTTTTTTTTTTTTTTTTTTTTCAGCGACATCATCAAAATTTAATTGAAAATAATTTTATCACTATTCAATGTATGTAAAAATCTAAGGTTGGTTGCAAATGAAAGAGTATAGAATCGAAAGGTGAAGTGTCCCACCCCAATTTCAAATATATTTTTGAGGTATAGTTTACAGTTTGTTAAAAAAAAAATGAAAATACCGTCTCTGAAAATGTGACGTCATAAAAGTTTAGTTATATCCCATACACTTTTTGATGAGTCACCCGCAGTTTGTTGTATGACAGATAAGTTTTCAGTATTAGTGAACTTTGACCTTGAACAAACAGCATTTTAAAAAAAAAGTCAAGAAAAGAAAAACATCCGTTTTTTCTGTAAGTTGTGTTGAATAATTTTTTGTTTTTGAGATTAATTTGATTTTTTTCGTGTTTGTCAGGATTAGCTGATATTTTCTTAATATTCATGCTGTAAACAATATATTAACTAGGAATGGCATAAACATGTTGTTTCTCGGCTGTTTAATCCTAAAAATAACTTTGATATAAACTAGTGTAAACATTTTCTTCGTCACGGACGCCATTTATAATAGCATGGAACTGAAGGTTGCAATCTTATTCGAAAACTTAAGTGATATTTTGAGTTTTATACCAATTTTTTGGAGGGATATTTACCAGCACAATATACTTTATTTGTAATTTAAAAAAGTGTTTTAAATTGGGCCATATTTCACGTCTTATCGTAACAGCTTCTTCCACAATAAGGTTACTTCTTATACATGTACATGTACATTGTGAGGGTAGGTTCTTGACTCACCTGAACAACGGCTGGGACTCTGTTGTTGCCCTGTTTACTCTGTTTTTAAGAAATTTTTTTTTTCTACAACCACCAAAATTAATGCAATCTTCTGAAGTCCTTCCAGACTTGGGGCAATTTACATTGTAAAGTTATGCATTACAGTACCATTTCTTCAAGAATTTGGGCATTAAATTACCATTACTGTCATTTCTTAAAGTAATGCATTACATTACCATTACTTTAGCAAAGTAATGCATTAACATTATCATTACTTTTGTAGGTTTTCAAAAATAAAAATACAAAACTTTGCAACTATTTTCATAAACATGCATCCCACTCCTTCAAAACTAAACATGGTGAATGATAATTCAAATTTTAATTCAAGTACTTGTATTTATTACACGGTAAACAATTTACGTATGTTTTTATTATTCATAGGAAGATCGAACTTTCCGATTGCCAATAAGATAAAAACATGTACATTAATATGCATTTTTTTGTGAAACTATTGATGTCGAAAAGCAGTTTAACTTTCGGGTTAGTTTACTTCCTCACTGAAGCTAAAACTAAACTGAATAATACATATAAAGATTATTTTTATCTAGTACCATAAATTATGACAAAAATTAAATGCATTGACAAACTTGTAAAAAAGTTTGGACAGTATGTACATTTTGCTCTGCTAAAAGTAGAATGCCTGTCTTCTATTTCTTTTGTTGCAATGGATTGTCATGGTCAGCTCAAGCTAGCTAGACCAGCTCAATTAATGTGTAAACCTATGGGGTTTAGAACGGACATTTTATTTGAACATTTTAAACTTGGACTATATTCATATCCTAATCATTTTAGTTATTTATAGTGATCTTATTAGTGACAGTAAAATAAAATAAAAGGTCATCAAACAAGGATGTACATTATTAGTGTACCACATGCAGTAACTTTATAATTGGAAAAGGGACTTTATATTCATGAACTATGATTATCTTGTTAGAACCAATTGGATTTTGTTGGTACAATGAACTATAATTTTGTAAATCATTTTTGTAATGGAATTGATCAGAATAGACCAATCAAGTCCATCGATACTAAGTAATAAAATTTGAACGGAAATGCAAAGTTACTATTAAGATTCTTGATTAAGAGTAATAAAATTGGAAACTTTGAAGCAGATAAGTAAAAGTGACTAGGGCTAAAACTCCTGTGGTGCAGAGATGGAGACTGAGTCCATAAATATAATTAATGAAGGTATACCTGGCTTGGAGAGTGGTGCCATGCTGGGGTTGATAGGTCAACGGACAGACCTACGGACTTAGCGTAGGTGGTATGGCAATGTTAAAACAACCAATAAAAGGTACTTTTATATCCGGGACCATGAATACCCTCTGAGCACAAAATACCCTGTTTTGCCGGAAAACGGCATTCTTTTCTACTCTATTCTTGACTTTATCCTTCTTTCTTTAGACAATTCATTAGACATCTATTGACTCTTCGGATTACAAATTGGACTCTAATTTTTTGGACATCACCTTAATTATTACTTTTGGAGTTTTAGTTCTACGCTCTTCTGGAATATTTGGGAAGGATCTTTAAAACTTTTGCTTCATCCGGCGTATTGGTCTATTCTGGTGAAATTTCAGAAACAAGCGTTTAAAAATCTATACGATCACGGTAGTTTAATAAACTTTTCACAAAATTTAACAAATTTTGTTATTGGCTTACAAATGTTTCATAAACACAGTCAGAAAAAAGCGGCTGGTTCTTGGAGTACTTCTCAAAACAATACATTGCTTTAATTGTTATATAACCTTAGAGACAATTGTGTGTTTTGATGATATTCAATTCAAAAGGTGACAATTAACAGTTTACAGAGTACATTAATTAGTGTGCCTGATACCGGAAGTTATTTTTTAAAGGATATAATATTTTAAAAAAAAACACTCTTTTAAATTAAATCCTATCTAAAATAAATATAAAAAAATTAAATGTGTGGTAATTGTACTTTCAACAGAATAAAAAAATGTATTTAAATAAATACAAAGTTTATTTAAATAGGTTAACTTGTTTTCATTCATTTCTATTATTAAAAAAATTAATCTAAACAATAATTTCCATGTCAATTTTAATTTTTTTTAATAGGTATATACAAAATAATGCTTTGTAATGCTATATAATGCCAGCATTTGAGAAAGTAATGCATTACATTTCCATTACATGTAATGCAATTTTTTTGGCATTACACATTACTAAGCATTACTTCGAGTTCAAGCAATGCATTGGAATGCATTACCATTATATTAAGCATTACCCCAAGTCTGTCTCCTGCACATCAATCAGTCAAACTATTGGCATGATTGTAATATACATTGGGTCCTCTACCAAAATTATGAAATCCAGGGCCCCAGGTTCAGGGGTAGTGGTGCTAGATAGGGTGGGGCTATATAAATGTAGATCATATTGTGAAAGTACTTTTATTTATTTCTTTGAAAATCTTTTTATCTTCTCGTGGATATTAAACAAACTAAGTACAAAGTCATGGTAAGCAAGGGTGCTTCTTCCAAAATTGTGAAATTTGGGGGCCAATGGTCTGGGGTACTGTTCAAAAAGGGTTTGGGGTCTTTACTGATTATATAGTGAAAAAGCATAATTTCTTGAAAATATTCTTTTCTGCTCCTGATTCTAAAGCAAAGAAATTTATAGATATGATGAGCAAGAGTGCTTCTTCCAGAATTGTGAGTTTCATGGCCCCTGGGTCAGATGCTCTGGCGAAAGGGTGGGGCGCTGTTATAATATAGTGAAAATGCATTAATTCTATCAAATTACCCTGCCTTCTCCTTATTGTTGAGCAAATTAACAAAGTGTATAGTTATGATGAACAAGGGTGCTTCTTATAAAAAAAAAATTAAAACTTGTGGTCCCAGGGTCAGGGGTTCTGGTG